GTTTTTGGTATTTTTAAATTTGGATCTTCAGCAATGTAAGGCAGAAGAAAACCGATTTTTCGCTGTAAGCTAACACGATATGCAATATATTTTTTTCATTTTTTGGGAATTTGAAAAAATTTTTATACAAAATTTTTACTGGGTTGGTAATGTTTTTGTATTTTTTATACAATTTTTTGTATATTTTCGATCCAGTTTTTTTGTATTGAAATTGTTGTTCAATATCGAAACACTGAAATGCTAGACTATGTATGCACGTACGTATGTATGTGCGTATGTATGTTTCTTTGTATGTTTGTATGTTTCCTTGTATGTTCTTTGTATGTTTGTATGTTTCCTTGTATGTTCTTTGTATGTTTCTATGTATGTATGTGTTTGTGTGTGATATCAAAAGAAGGATAGCTATGGCGAAAGATGCATATTCAAAAATGAAAAACATCCTCACCAACAGTAAAATCAGAATATCAAAAAAAATTAAAACTGTTAGGCTGTTACATTTTATCCTGTGCTAACTTACGGCTCTGAGTCCTGGAAAATTTATAAAGAAATGACAAAAAAGAATAACGAGAGAAATTATAAAAACTAGTTGGACCTTTCATACTTCGAATGAGGATGTATTAAAACAGTCCGGTTATGAAAAGAGGAAATTACCACAGGTAATCCGACGGGGGCAGTTAAAGTTTTTTGGTCACATCATGCGGAAGGAAAGAATGGAAAATCTAACAACTACTGGAAAGATTGCAGGGAAAAGAGATCGCTGTAGACAACAACGAACAACAATCGTGAGGTCCTTGTGTCACTTGTTGAATATCATCGCATTTCAACTCTTAAAAAGCGTTAAAGATCGGGTTTTGTGGAGGTCGATGTTTGCCAATGTCCTGATAAGATGAGGCACGAGAAAGAAGAAGAAGATGCGTGTGTGTGTATGTATGTTTTGAAATATTTTTTATTTCGATCAGCTATTTTGATAGACTATCTCTTAAGACTAAGGCTATTGCATTTGCTTTTATTTCAATTTATAAAGAGAGTTAGTCTTCCATATCTTTTTTATTATGTTTTTTCTTTGTCTGGTTATTTTTCATCTTCGTTTAGTCTTCTTTATTCTTTTAGCGACTATCTATTTTATTATTTGCAGACTTATTTATTTCTTCGTCTGTTTTATCTTTGCTGTCGTTGTTTATCCGTTCGTCTGTTTTATCTTTGTTGTTGTTATTGTTGTTTATATCTTTGTTTTTTTTTATTTTTGTTTTTAGTGTGTGGGGCGAGCATGTTGACATGCGTTCCTTCTCTCCCTATTGAAAATTTCAATTAATCGAGACCTACGTGACGTCACTGTCAAGTTGGCGCTCTTTTTTCTGAGGGTTATGGTAGTAGTAGCTGTAGTAGAAGCAGCAGCAGCAGCAGCAGCAGCAGTAGTAGTAGTACTAGTAGCAGTATTATTAATGATAGTATTAGTTGTAGTTGTTGAAGCAGTATTCAGTAGTAGTAGTAGTAGTAGTAGTAGTAGTAATAGTAGTAGTAATAGTAGTAGTAGTATCAGCAATAGCAGTAGAAGTATTAGTAGTAATAGTAGTAGTGGCAATAGTTGTACAATATTCATTAGATACCCATTGTTCATCCAGTCCACTGGTGTGTATTTTATGAATGTATATGACCAAAACATACATCCATACAAATATATATAAGTACACAAATAAAAAACAAGAACTACACAAATACATACATACACAAACATGCACGCATACATACATACAAACATACATACAAACCAACAACCACACACACATACATGCATACAAACATGCATATATAAAGAAATTTACAACAATACATTTCTTTATTAGCCTTTTTTATTGCTCCAATAAACATGTTATATGGTACTCTATAATTTATAACGTAATAATAAAAATATTATCATCATCAATGTCATAGATATTGTCCATTTTATTATCTTCATCATTTGCTATCGTCGTCATCGTAAAATGTGCTATACAAATATACAATTTGTAATACATAAAAAATTAATGAAGTTATTTTTTGTAAAATTCAGAGTTTTTGGACCATGATTGTGACTCTTAATAGGTCATCATCCACCTCATCTGTAAAAACAAACAACAAGGACGACGACGACAACATCAGCAACAGAAACAACATCAATTTCAACAACAACAACAATAGCAACAACTACAGCGTCAACAATAACAACAGCATAAACAACAACAACAACAACAATAGCAACAACTACAGCGTCAACAATAACAACAGCATAAACAACAACAACAACAGCATAAACAACAACAACAACAGAGACAACATCAATAACAACGATAACAACAACAACATTAATAACAACAAGGATGGTGATGACATCAATATGAACGTTTACATAAAGAGGATTACCAACAACAAC